GAGACTAGAAAAACCTAAGTATCCAAGAACAGATGAATGGATAAGGAAACTATGAGACACACACAAAATGGAGTACTACTTGACTCTAATAAAAGACACTGGTGCTGGAACTTGTACACCTCAAACCCAATAATGAATAACTTGGTAACTTTGTAATCCACAGTGATTCAATTAAAAAGAAAAAAGAAGAGACAGCAACATGAGTAACACAACACGCCTCAGAGATGCCTCCGGACCCCATGCCAGGCTATCTCATTCATGGCAACCCGGAGCAGAACTGGCGAGTCCCCCCACCCACCCCAATAGAGCCCCAGCAACCGAAAACCTCCAGAACTCAATCATTGCTATGCTCAGGGACAACTTCCATAGGCTTGGACAAGCCTCATCCATAAGTGAATCTGCTGAAAAACACAGGTATGCAGGACTTGTGACCAAAATCTCCAGGCTCGTACAGTCGGGAATGGGTGACCTCCCCCCGCCCCACCTCCCTGTGCTTCCAGTAGCCTAGCAGTCACACCCATAAACTACCTCTCGCACCATATAAGCTCATTAGCTGCCATGATCCAGACTCAGACATAAATCTCTACGAAGAGAGCAACAGGAGCAACAATCCACTGAAATGCCTTTATACCCCAAAGTCACAGCCAGTTAAAAAAAGAAAAAAGGAAAAAGAAAATTAACCTCCAGCTGTATCACCTTATTTAAAAGTTTAGAATTCCTGAAGCACACAGCCATGCAACATCTCATACTCTACACCACTGATAGACCAAGACAAGGGCTTAATGGCTCCACGGTGAAATACAACAATCTTCACACATTTTCCTCTAAAGATACTTTTGGAAAATTTTTAGCAGATTATTCGTAACAAGCAATACAAAATAAATTATTTAGATCCTGTTTTGGAGACAGGCTCTGGGGGTCGGGATGAAAATATTCAAAATATGGTTGCAGGAAGGTGTAATGGTAGTGCGATTGGTGTTGGAATATTAAATGTAATAAATTATTGTGAACAACTTTATAAAAATTAAGTTAAATTTTAAAAAAGAAGGAAAAAGAAGGAAAAAGGAAAGACAAAATCATACTATTTGCTGTTACATGGATGGATCTGGAAGGTATGATGCTGAATGAAGTTAGTAAGAAGAGGAGTGACAGACACAAAGTGATCTTCCTCATATGTGGGATATAAAGAAATATAGTAGAGGAACAACAAATTTTCAAAAGTAACAAACTAGAATTGACCTTAGTAGGAAGTGTGTGGGGTGAGGAGCATAGGAGAGAGTTGGGACATTGGGACACTGTGGAGAAAGGTAGACACTGGTGGAGGGTGTGGGGCTGGAATGTTTTAGGCATGAAACTCTACCATTAACACTATTGTAGACCCCGGTGCCTAAAATAAAATGAGAAAAGCAGACAAACACAAGGGAAACCAAAGCTTGAAATGAAGAGAGAGATACTGAGTGAGAGAGAAAGCAAAAGAGAGAGAGAGAAGAGAGAGAGGAAGAGAGAGGGAGAGGAAGAGGAAGAGAGAGAGAGAGAGAAAATAACTGCTGAGAATAAGATTCAATCAAGCCTGAAGGAGCCCTATCAGTCTTAGCTCCTAAGATGCATGCCTTATATACTGCTTTTTTTGTTTGTTTCGAGTTAGTTTGAGTCAAATTTCTAACTAGACAGAGGCACATTACTTGCAAGTTATTAATGTCCATTTATCAAAGTAGGGATTGATCACGGATGCTTCTCCTGGAAGGAAGCATAAAATGAGGCTCCCATAACCATGCCACTGGACTCTGCACCAGACTGTTTTCACTCAGGGCACCCCAGAGGGGGGGTGGGCGACAGCCCTCCCCACCCCAAGGGACCCAGCCCCAGCAGCCGACCTCCACTACCTAACCTCCACCACGCTCCAGGCTGCTTTCCAAACTGCATGACAGCAAAGAGGCCATGCGACATTTCATAAGACACTTCCTACCCATTTTCCATAATTACCATACCATATTTGATAGGGTTCAGACAGTAGGCAACAAATTATAGAAACATATATATATATTTAATATATATTAAATATATGTATATGCCTCTCGGAGAGCCCAGCAAGCTACCAAGAGTATCCCATCCGCACAGGCAGAGCCTGGCAAGCTCCCTGAGGTGTATTCGATATGCCAAAAATAGTAACGATAACAGGTCTCATTCCCCCAACCCTGAAAGAGCCTCCAATTGTTGGGAAAGACGAGTAAGGAAAGACTGCTAAAATCTCAGGGCTGGGACGAATAGAGACGTTACTGGTGCCTGCTCAAGTAAACTGATGAACAACAGGATGACAGTGATGCAGTGATACAGTAATCAAAGCAGGGTTCCTAGGAAAGTCTATCACATAGTAAGTGAACAATTTTCCCAGAAAAATTGGAAGGTTACTAATTAACTCAAAATCATATGAATGGAACTTTTTCAAGAGCTAGTAAATGCACTAAAAATAAGTAAACCTCCTTAATGCTAACAGACAGTGGATAAGAACTTACTATAAAGTGACTATAATTTTGGAGATGTCTAGAATTATATCAACTTGTACTTAAAAAATCAATACTTGGAGACAGTACAGAAGGTAAGGCACTTGCCTTGTGTGTGGTTGAGCCTTTTCAATCTCTAGCAACACATGGTCCCTCGATCAATGCCACAAGTGACTCCTGAGCACAGAGCAGGAACAGACCCCGAGTACCACCAGGTGTGACCCTAAAAGTATTCTAAATAAATAAAATTCCCTTTTCAACTCAATTGATCTACTTATCGCAAAACTAAAAAAATTTTATTGGTTTTATGCTACAGACTCAAAATAATTTTTTTTTTTTTTTTTTTTTGCTTTTTGGGTGACACCTGACTTTGCACAGGGGTTACTCCTGGCTCATGCAGTCAGGAATTACTCCTGGCGGTGCTCGGGGGACTATACAGGATGCTGGGAATCGAACCCTGGTCGGCCACATGCAAGGCAAATGCTCTAGCCACTGTGCTATTGCTCCAGCCCCTCAAAATAAAATTTTTTTAAAAAGGCTTTTTTTTTTTTTTATGCTTTTTGGGTCACATCCGGCGATATACAGGAGTTATTCCTGGTTCATGCACTCAGGAATTACTCCTGGCAGTGCTCGGGGAATCATATGGGATGCTGGGAATCGAACCTGGGTCAGCCACGTGCAAAGCAAACACCCTCCCCGGTGTGCTACACTCCAGACCCTCAAAATAAATTTTTGACCAAGTAACACTCATATACTGAGCTGGACCTATAAGATTCTAAATAACCACACTTTTTTTTTTTTTTTTTTGCTTTTTGGGTCACACCCAGCGATGCTCAGGGGTTACTCAACCATCTTTTCAGATCACAATGCACTGAGGATAGAAGTGAATCACACACAGACATGGAGAACCAAGTGAAAATTAAACCTGGAAATTAAACAACTCAATGCTGATGCCAACTGGTTCAGCCCTTTTGGAAAACAGTATGGACGATTCTCAAAAAATTAGAAATTGAACTCCCATTTGACCCAGCAATACCACTCCTGGGAATATATCCCAGAGAGGCAAAAAAGTATAGACGAAGTGACATCTGCAACTGTTTGTTCATTGCAGCGCTCTTTACAATAGCCAGAATCTGGAAAAAACCTGAGTGCCCGAGAACAGAAGACTGGTTAAAGAAACTTTGGTACATTTACACAACGGAGTACTATGTAGCTGTTAGAAAAGATAAAGCCATGAAATTAGTGAAATGACTCAGAAAGAGAGGGATAGACATAGAAAGATTACATTCATCTGAGGAACATAAAGTAACAAAATAGGAGACTAACACCCAAGAGTGGCCGAGATTGAGATTAGTACCAGGAATTTTGCTCCATGGCTTGGATGCCAGCCACACATGCTAGTGAAAAAGGGAGCTCAGATAGAGAAGGGAGTACCAAATAAAGAATGCTGAGAGGATCCTCCCAGGATGGGAGAAGCATGCTGAAAGTAGACTATGGACCAAACATGACATGACTGCCACTCAATGCCTCTTTTGCAAACCACAACACCCAAAAGGAGAGAGAGAACAGAGGGGAATGCCCTGCCACAGAGGCAGGGTGGGATGGGGGGGATGGGAGGTGGGAGGGATACTGGGATCCGTGGTGGTGGGAAATGGGCACTGGTGGAGGGATGGGTATTTGATCATTGCATAATTGAAACCCAAGCACAAAATTTGTAAGTCCACAACTGTACCTCATGGTGTCTCACTAATAAAAAAAAATAAAGAAATTAAATACATATTTAATAACTTGAGTGAAAAGAGTAATTTCCTAGAAAATATGCCATTAAAATTAAATCAAAGTAGAGAATTTGAATAATTTCCACAAAAGGATTTGAAAGACAACATATTTAAAGTAACCAAGAATAGGTGAGTTTTTCAATAAGCTAAAGCCAATTGTCAAGAACCAGAGAATTCCAATATTATGTATACTACTCCAGTCTGCTAAAAATATTAAAATCTCTTCAATCTAAGAGATTAGTTATTTTAGTGTTCAAATCTGATAATACAACTACAAAACATGTAGAAGAAATTTAATGCCATTAAACAGTGTTTAAGTTTTAGCAATATAGCAAAGTGATAATATATGTGTATATATACACATATGTATACATATACATGTATATTATGTATACATATACATGGATATGCGTGTGATATATATAGAGAGAGTGAGAGAGAGAAAGAAAGAGTGAGAGAGAGAGAGAACAGTTCATTCCAGGAACACAAGAATGGTTGATTCAGCTCAGAAATGTATCATCATCATTAATTACAGCAACAAATTAAAGGCTAAACCATATGATTAAAGTAATGAAAACCAAAACAAGGGATTTCAAGATAAATAAAAATTCAATTATTCATAATAAGAATAAAGTAGCTTTATACTTGTTTATCACCTCATATAAAACATTTAAAAAAAAAGAGTACATTTTACCTGTTCTATATTATAAAACTAATTTACCTGTTGAGGAAGTCGAAACAAGGAATTCTTATAGAAAATATCCTTAGCCTGGCTCCAGGTACCATCAATGATGATGAGTGTCGAAGGATAAATAGGAGAATCTAATATAAATTCTTCCAAGTTAGCGGCTTCAGCTCCTGGATATAATATTAATGTACCAGACTTCTGACAAATAGATGAAAGTTCAGGATCTCTACAAGTTTAAAAATAACGTTTGTTAGCTTGTGTAGACAAAATAAGTTTTGCTGTTCTTACTGGACTTCATTCAAAAATAGATGTCAGAGTTTTCTGGCACTGGAAATGTAATACTGAATGAGATGGCCTGTGCATGGAATCAACAAAATTCAGGAAAAGGGGAAGGAGACAATGACAATAAACAGCATCTTCTTCACTGAAAGATGGCATTTACAAAATTGTATAGCCAATACCACATTTAACAATGTCCCTTAAAGTTAGGATCAAGATAAAGATATTGGCTTTCATCATTCCTTGTATACACTGTACTTATTGCAGCAGCAATTGTGCAGTAGACAAGGAATAGAAATAAAGGTACTCAGAAAAAATAGAAAATTCTAGGAAATCTAAAAAAATTTTACAATAAGCGAACTAAGAAAAACACTAAGACAGGGTTAAAATACAAAACACAGCTAGATTACTAGATACTAGAGCAAACACTTGAAATTATTTTTAAAATTCCATCTACAAGGGTACCAAAAGCAATATTCCGTAATCATTTCTCCAGGATTTCATCAGATCTTCTACCAAAAGCTCAAAACAGTCATTCAATTGCAAGAACCATATTAGTAATGAACTTAGTTTATTTCTCCTTGGTTTTGGTGGGACACCCAGCTGGTTCTGTGTTCAGGGGCCACACACCTGGGAGTGCTTGGGGTACCATAAGCAGTGCCAGGGATCAAATCAGGGTCAGCCATGTACAAAGCAAGCATTTCAACCCCTCTATTATGTGTCTAGCCCCAAATCAACTTTATTTTAACATCCATCAGAGTTCATACATCAAAGTATCATGACAGTATTATGAATCATGATACCTCAATAAAAATGGAAAACAGACAAAACAAAGAGAAAAAAAATCCATCAGAGAATGACTTACTATAGTACCATATTAGATAGCAAGAGAGAGTGAGGCTAAATCTAATATAAAATGACCATCTTAAAGGCACCTTTACTAAATGTGAAATAAACAGCACGCATACATGCCTTTTAGACTAAGCATATTTTGCTATGCTTAAATTCAGATAATGCCATCATTCTCAGGTTTTCTGCATTTGATCTGTAGTTTGGAAGTGTATTATTCTGAGGGGGAAGGTAGAACTTATTTTCCGTTACCCCCAATGTACCATGTATAGGGCTGGAGAGATAATACAAGGGTGAAAGTGCGTGCCTGGGATGTGGCTTACTCTGGCTCAATCCTGGACAGTATATGGTTCCCGGAGCTCCACCTGGAATGATCCCTGAGCACAGAGGCAAGAGTAAGCCTTACGCTTCACTGGGTGCTGCCACAAACAAACTATTTACCACATTTGGGACAAGCTGAAGAAAACTATTTTAAAAGATAAGTTCAGGGGCTGGAGCAATAGCACAGCAGATAGGGTGTTTGCCTTGCATGTGGCCAACCCGGGTTCAAATCCCAGCATCCCATATGGTCCCCTGAGCACTGCCAGGAGTAATTCCTGAGTGTAGAGCCAGGAGTAACCCCTGAGCATCGCCAGGTGTGACCCAAAAAGAAAAAAAAAAACAAAAGATAAGTGCAGTAAATAATAATAGTAACAACAGTTGTTGTTGTTATCAGTATTACAGTTTGGGTAACAGAATAGTGCTACTCTTTATGGTTTTGACATCAAGAGTTACTGCACCTCACCATCACTTCTAGTCTTTCCTTTTCCCCAAGACCCTCCACCCCCACTTGGTAAGCTCATTGTTATTAAAGGTCAAGGGTTTATCATCATTTGATATTGTTTACTCTCCTCTTTTGGTTCGCTATATGCCACAGGTGAGCGAGATCATCTAGCATTTGTCCTTCTCCCTCTAAAAAGAATTATTTTAAATTTCCAATAAACATAGTAATTCACCTTTCCTCACTGAAGCGCCGCCCAATCTTGACTTTACACTTGTCCTGGGGGAGGCACGCTGCCAGCAGAGGAACTGTCCGTAACACTTTATTTTCCTTTAATTAAAAAATAAAACACAATTTTTTTCACTTAAACAAACACACTTCTGAATCTTTCATGTTGAATATTTTATCTGTATTACGTAAATATTTAACCAAATTTTTTATTAAAAAAATGGGGGGGGGGTTGGCCTGGCAGGGCTGGCACTGCTCAGAGTGACCATATGAGATGCCAAGGTCTGGGGTGAGCAGTGTGCAGGGCAAGCACTCAACAGACTGTACTCTCTCTTCAGCCACTCACTGGTTCTTTTGCTACAATTCATAGTTTAATAATAAGAAGTTCTATCATTTCTCTAATTCATCAGTATGAAACATTATAAACATGTACACGTCTATGGGGGTATGCTCAGAAGTTTACTATTCAAATAACATAACATCAATCTAAATAATGTTTAAGATTATGAAAACTAAATTTGGTTAGCTAAATTGAATCACTTTCTGATAGACGTTTGCTATCAAGAGTAATTGCATTTTGTAGTACGTCATCTTGAAAATAATTGCTTACATCTTTGTGTTCAGAAAGCAAGGAAGGAAGTGCTCAAAATAACAAAGCGGGGATGGGGAGGGGCTGGAGGGACCTGGAAGATGGCTCAGTGGCTCAAACCCCATGAGGACTATTCTGAGTTTAATCCCCAGGGTCTCCACACTGCTGCAGTTTCAGAAATAATCCTGACAGCCTGTCGGTGGTGGGAAGAGAGAAAGGGAAAAAAAAAAAAAAAAACAGGGCACATCACTGGGATACAAAAGCTAATCATAAAGAACTCCTCACAGCCAAAATGATCTGAGTAACAAAATAAGTCACCTAGTATTTGGATTATAACCCAAGTATAAAACAGATCCTTGATTGATATAAATGAATGGTTGAACAAACAAGCAGGGGAAAAGAAACAAATCTCCTTTCAAAATAAATTGCCAGCAACAAACAGAAATATCCCCCAGCACGTGGGGAGATGGGTTAGTCTTCTTCTCCCACTGAAGTACAAGCTGGGTCTGTACTTCATTCTCAAAGGAAAAGAGTATAGAAAGATGAAAGAAAAATAACCCTTCGGTGGAGAATCTGGTAGTCATTTCTATAAATTCCACTTAATATCATTAGTGGGTGATTCTTTTAGCTATAAAATAAAAAAACAAACTTTCTTGGGGCTGGAGAGATAATACAGTGGTAGAACACTTGCCTTGTTCTACCACTTAGTTCAGCCCCCACCCCCCTATCCCCACCACCACCACCACCACCACCACCACGACCACCTCACCAGGAGTGACTCCTGACCACACAACCAAGAATACGCCCTGAGCACTGCCAGGTGTGGCTACACCCTCCTCCAAAAAAGAATCCTGTCATTAATGGGAGAAAATATTTGCAGGACACACATCTGGACAAAAGGTAACAAACATACAATGAACTCATACAACTTAACCAAAAAATAAAACCCACAAATAATCTAACAAAAATTGGCCAAAAGATCTGAATAGACATGTCTCAAAGAAAACATGTATATGACCAACAGACATGAAAAGATGCTCACTCTTATTATGGAAATATAAATCAAAACTACAAAAAGATACCATCTAACAGCTGGCATCAAAGACTAGTAAAAAGAACGTTGGCAGGGGCTGGAGCAATAGCACAGTGGGTAGGGCCTTTGCCTTGCACACGGCCAACCCAGGTTCGATTCCCAGCATCCCATAGGGTTCCCGAGAACTGCCAGAAGTAATTTCTGAGTGCAGAGCCAGGAGTAACCGCTGAGCATCACCCCATGTGACCCTCCCCCCCAAAAAAGAACATTGACAAAGGTGTGGAGTAAAACGAACCCCATACACCACTGGTGGGTATAAAACTTGGAATTGTCTCTATGGGAAACAGTATAGAGAGTCCTTAAAATGTTAAAAACAGACAGGGGCTGAGAATATGGCTCAGGGGTACATTTGAGATGGAGGTTTCAATGCCTCCCCCCAAAAAAGAACTTTATCTTTCATCATAGATATTTTACTAAATGATACTAAAGCACTGAGGTTAACTTTACCAGGGTTATAAGGTATACAGACTTGAACTCAAGCAATCTAGCTCTAGAACCCTATTCTACCTGCAGCACTTGGTAAATTCTTTTCGAATTCATGAGGATTTTTGCTCTTATATCACTCCAGTCATGCAACTTCCAACATTTTTTACATAATAAATTATGATTACACAGACGTCATTCATGAATGACCAAGAAGCCGAACACAACATTTATTTCTTATAAACTTATTTTGAGGAATAAATGTCCTCTTTTTAATCCTTAGTTGAATACATAGATATGTCTGTTCTTAGAAATGCCCCATCATATCCCTTCCAAACCATCTACTTCCTTTCAGTTTTCATTTCCCACAGCTCCTAAAGCCTATTTAAATAACCTTCAGTCACTTTTTACTGTGAACCCATCCAACTGACATGCTTCTTATTGAAACCTGTGTGTTAAACAGAAGGCAACCCAGTAATATCACTAAGTTGGACGAAGACTAGAAAGTTACTTGGGTGATAAGGAAAAGTATGAATGTATTTGGATATATCAAAAATACATTTTCACCACACAAGCATGGAAAGAATGATGGAAGAACAGAAGCAATGAAAAGAAGATGGAATTTTAAAAAAAGTAACTCTATGGCAAACCACAATACCCAAAAGGAGAGAGAGAGCGAAAGGGAATGACCTGCCACAGAGGCAGGGGGGTAGGGGAGTGGGAGGAATATAAGGATCACTGGTGGTGGAGAATGGGCCTTGGTGGAGGGATGGTTACCCGATCATCGTATAACTGAAACAGAAGCATGAAAGTTTGTAAGTCTACAACTGTACCTCATGGTGTATCACTAATTAAAATTAAATAAATATGTGTATGTAAAAAAAAAAGGTATACTTTCTAGCTCAGAGAAGAGAGAGGGGAGAGGAGGCAGGGATTAGAAAATATTAAAATTACCACAAAATAATAAAAGCATCTGCATTCTAAGAGCTATCTCAAGGAAAAGGATAAGGCACCACACTATTATACCATTCACTATGACAAAAGAAAATACCATTTACTATCGAAAGTTTTCACCAGGAATTTCTCATTGACCAGTAAGCTATCATTTTATGCAAATGGAGCTACAGAGTGATGTAAGTTTAAATGTAGTAAAATAATGCTATTCACGTTACGATGCTCACAGAGCATGCTGCTGTTAACACTGAAACACATGCTCACACACACAGGAAAAAAAAACGTTTTCTCAACAAATGGAATGTTTAAATTTGTATAGGTTGCTTCACCACTTGGAAAAAGGGGGGAGGGGGAAAGATTAGTATTTTTCACATCTTAAAGTCTTTAAGTAACTATAGGCTTTAGAAATAATCCTTCTTCAAAAGCATGATTTGATATCTGGTATCCTGGCTCGTAAATGCTAGAAGAGCTTAAGCATCAGCTTATGTTGAACTGTGGTTATTTATAACCTCCTTCCTCCCCTCCTCACTAATACCAGCAGTGAATAGCAACATATACACCATAACATACATAATTCAATATAGGAGGGTATTAACTAAAAATGTTTAAGTCTTTATGTGAAGCATCTATACTATAAAATGCTGATCTATTCATCTAAAACAATTTTTAACTTGTACATTTATTTTTGTAATGCTTCATAACTATAACATTAATGTTCTAAAGTTACATCTACTTTAATAGGAAAATATATCAAGGAATATAAGCTATGATTAAAATAAAGCAATTATTTTCTTATCTCTCTACTCAAAAAAACCTCAGAAATTGTTCAAGTTCTAAATTTCTACACTATTTAATAATGACCTTATGAAACGATACCATCTTATGAAATAGAAGCTTTTATCTATCTCCAAAGGCTATTGCATTTTTCTGTAAGATAAGAAGTACAAGAAACTATTTTCCCCAAATGCCACAACTTATTTTCAGAAAAGCGAAAAAGCTGGGAGGAATGAGCATTTTCATCTGTGTTTCCTCCTGTACTAACGTTCTTCATGAAACTGTGGATCTGACAAAGCTCACTCACCTCTGCTGGATGCTGAATTATGTACAAGTGAGTGGAGATGTGCAGAGGATGCACTGGCAGAAACGGACACAAGCATACTTTAATAGGCCGGCTAAAGGGAAGAAAGAAAAAGAAAACCTGTAAAAAATGTGAATGCAATGATATAATAACCACCTAAAATCTACGCCAAGATCCCACTTCATTATATTAAAAGGTCTTCTAATACTTCATTCTTTAAAAATGAACAGAATAAACTGAATCACAATTTAGATATGAGAATTTGGGGTAAAAATAAAAAATCAGGTAGTAAATTCTCTGCTTCTACTTTGCCACTCTAAATTATATTACCTAAAACAATATTACATAGAATCTTCAGTGGAAAAACTCAAACATTACCACAGTCCTATATTTGTGAAGTAACATACTAACTTATATTTCAAATAAAAAGGAAAGCTAAAATTGTATAAACAATTGTGCATACAGAAAGCTTTTAACAAGATAATATATAAAAAATAATCCTGAAGACTCCACTAAACCCTACTAGAAATAATAAACCACTAAAGTGGCAGGCTATAAAATCAATATACACAACACGATTGCCTACAGCCCAAACAAAATTATTTTTATCTACTAAACTTTTACAGAAAAAAAAAGTCCTACTATAGTATGATTTTTAGCTAGCCATGTAACGTCTTGCCTAACAGACTGGTTTCTATCATTTAGTAGACAAGCCAACTACTACGCATGTTTTTAATATCTGCATCTTTGTTACTGCTCATTAAAAATGTCATAAAGAATCTGTTATTAAAGTGAGCCAAACTTTGGGGCTAGAATGATAGCACAGCGGGTAATGCATTTGCCATGCACGCGGTTGACCCAGGTTCGATTCCCAGCATCCCATATGGCCCCATGAGCACCACTAGGGGTAATTCCTGAGTGGAAAGCTAGGAGTAACCCCTGTGCATTTCCAGGTGTGACCCAAAAAGCAAAAATAAATAAAATAAATAAAGTGAGTCAAACTTCACTGGAGGGACACTTAGAATTATACACAATGTCAATATAACTGAAATTTCTCTGAAATATCAATAAAACAACTTACACAAACTACCATTTTTTGAACTCCACAAAGACAATTTATATTCAATGAATTCAGTGAAATTTATATTCAATAGACTCAGTGAAAATGTCAAATAAGACCCAATTTTAAAATAATAAATCAAACAAACTTTTGACCTTTTAAATGACAACTTTGAAAATCTAAATCTCTGTAGAGAAGACAACTCTCTACAGAAATAAAGTTATCTATGTTATCCTTGAAATTATCTTTCAATAGAAACTACACAAACTCTGCTCCAGAACTCTACCCATTTTTCATTGGAATATAACTGTCAAATAACATTATACTAGTTTTAGATGTTAGGTATGTTAGATATAATCATTTGATGACCTATATACCGTGCAAAGTAATCACCACAGTAATTCCAGTTAATATCCACCATTTTTTCATATGATGAGAATATTTAAGATTTATTCTTACTTTCAATGTGGTATTTTGCTTACATTTTATTGAAGTAACACTGACTCGTAATTTCATGTAAATTACATAGGGAATTTATGTAATCTATAATATAGTTCAATTTATATATAGTTCAACCTCTGCATCTACTACTTTATAATCTACCCAAAAGACAAGTTCTCATCTCTCAATCCGCCCCTCTCCTTAACCCTTCCTCTGTGATGGCTATCATTTTAGTGTTGTTTCAAGTTCCAGAACACAACATTACATATTCAGATTGTTTTTGTTTCGGGGGTGGGGGTATGGGGTGGGGGGGAGGGGTTCACACTTGGTGGTGCTCAAGGCTTACTCCTGGATCTGTGCTCAGTGATTATTTCTGGCAGTAGTCGGGGGACTATATGTGGTGCCAGGGACCAAAGTAAGATTGACCTATACAAAGTCAAGTGCCTTAACCTCTGTGCTATCTCTGGCCCCAAACCAGCATTACATTTCAACATTACATTTCTATACTACATAATGAGTACCAATGAAAGACTAGTCTTCATCTATCACCAAATCCAAACAATTGACTCCCTTTAACTGTTTTTCCTACACACACCCCATCCCCATTCCTAGTGATAGGAACAATTCAAAGGTTCAGCAATGAAATACTATTTGAGTCCTCCAGTGACAGAGGCCTCCAGGGCCATACTCAGGGTATCTTTGTATTTTTTTTTTAATTACAGTACTGTGATAGCTGAGTTTAAGGCATACAATATTTCACCACCAGTGTCACCTCTCTACCAGTTTTCCCAGACCCCATCCTCACTCCCAATCCACCCACCTTCACAGGTATATCACAAAGTTCAGTGACTGCAGCCTAGATTTCATGTTTTCAATGTTCTTGAGTCTGTACTTTGGATATAGCTACCAATGTCTCTCTTGAAAATAACCCACTTCTGGAGCCAAAGAGATAGAACAGCTGGAAACAGGCTTGCCTTGCATGTGCCTGACCCGCGCTGATCCCCAGTACCCCCAGATGGTACCCCAAGCCCTACCACAAGTGATCCCTTGTGCAGAGCCAGGAGTAAGCCCTGACTGAGCACAGGCAGATATGGGCCCAGGCCAAAATAATATAACCAGCTTCTCCAGCTAAAGAGATAATCCATGTGAGAAAGACAAGGCGCTGAGTTTGATCCCCAGTACTTCATGGCCCCCACTTCCGGCACTGCTAGGTGAGGCCCTGAAGGTCTCTGAGCACATAAGTGACACCTATTTAAAAAAAAAAAAAAAGAAACTACTTTTAGGGCTGGAGACATAGTACAGCAGGTAGGGCACTTGCGTTGCACACAGCTGACCCTGGATTTGATCCTCAGTATCCCAGATGGCCCCTGAGCACCGCCAGGAGTAATTCCTATGCACAGAACCAAGCGTAACTCCTGAGCATCACTGGGTAAGGCCAAAAAAAAAAAAATCATCCATCATCATCATCTGCTACTCTGGCCATCACACTCTGTCCCCTGATTCAGGTGGACTTTTCTTAAGGCACTTCATCTGACCTTACATTACTGGAAGTGACTTTTCTTCCCTCTAATGCAAGTTCTATGAAGGCAGTTGGTCTCCTTTCTCCATTTTTCTATCCCAGACCACAGCCCCACAAACTACCCACAACTGCTGTGTCTTACTTCCGCCTTAGGATACCTTTCCCCTCTTCTCCAATTTTTCAGCCTACTCCCTATTTCGCCCCTCACGGAGAGCCCAGCAAGCTACCGAGTGTATCTTGCCCACACGGAAAAGCCTGGCAAGCTACCCGTGACATATTCGATATGCCAAACACAGTAACAAGTCTCACAATGGAGACACTACTGGGCTCGCTCAAGCAAATCAATGAACAACTGGAGGACAGTGACAGTGACCCCCCATTTCAAAACTGTTGTTTCCTTTACTTCTTTAGAACTTAAGCAACTGGTATTATAAATAAAATGCGTAGTTTCATAACTGCTTTTTTTTTTATGATTTGTGACCATTTGGGGAGAGGATGGCATGCAAAGGGCAAAAGTACTAAAGCAACACAGGCACTGTGTAAATACTGTAACAGCTGTAAAGCTAAAACTCATAGTTTTGACTCCAGCTTTGACGTGCTCATAAAATTTCATTACCTAGTTATTTTAAAGCATGTCTCCCTTATTAACCTAATTCTAATTACAATGACCTCAAACTAATACAACCCTGGTAATTTAAAGCATTTTTTATTTCCAATTGATCAACTTGAAACTTGACAGGTTACTTTATAAATTGAATTTGTGCTTAACGGCAATTCTTCTCAAAGATCCCTCCTCCACAGCGGTCCACCATGGTGACTAGCTATCCAACTACTCGACTATTTCTTACCAAAAGAGTTTAAAAGTGGAAAGAAACTGTTCCCTCAGTCTAAAATCTTTTCCCAGAGAATATAAAGTCCCCAGTTCAGAGTTAAGTTTTAAAGGCTTATAGATTTCAAATCAATAATGGATCAAATAAATTTTCCAATAAAAATTGTTTTAGTATAACACATAAACATATTCTTTTAGGTCAAATAATTTATAAAATTCAACACACTTGTAGACAACTTGCTATATGCCAGGCCTGCAGAATAATAAACAAAAAAAGATTCCTTCCCTGGCAGAGCTCAATTGTTATCACTGTGCCGGAAAGATTTTTTTAAGTAGTCACCTACCTATGAAATACAATGGCTGAAAGAAGAAAAAAATACCAGGTAACTACTCATCAAAACTGATTATCTGAAAACAATGAGCACTGGGGTTGGAGGACTAGTATAGGGCCTTGCAAGTGGCCAGCCGTGGTTCAATCCCTAAGCACTGTATACAGTCCCCCAACCACCAACAGGAGTGATCCCTGAACATAAAGCCAGGAGCAAGCCCTGGGTAGCACTGGGTGAGGCCCAAATTCAAAATAATAACAACCTCATTTTAAAACAAAACTCGACGCCATAGAGTCCGTCTAGGGTAAGGGTGGCAGGGTGGCCATGGAGACCCCAGCATCACAAGGCCTGCACAGCACCACATCCTTGCACCCCAGCACCAAACAGCTGCCCTGCTTGCCCAAGAATCATCACCCCAAGCAAGCCCCCTGAGCACTGTTTAGGAGTCCCCCAAAATATTAAAAACTAAAATAGTTTCACTTATATAGTTTCACTTATATATGGACATGAAGAAGAAATATCTGAGAAGATAAAACGGCCAGTTGGGTAGAAGTTTAAGGAGTAAGTGTTCTCATCACTTTGCTTTGCTTTGCTTTTTTGTGGCTGGAGATCGAATCCAGGGCCTCAGACATGCAAAGCACATGGGTCTAGCACTTGAGCTCCATTCCCGGCCCTGGGAATAAACGCTATCATGTGCTATTGACAAAAATCTGTCTTGTTATGTGGCGTTGAATAAGTCACAGTGTTCAAGTTAAAGGCACCAAGAACCTTGCAGGCAAATCCCATCCTATCTACAGAAATGTAGGCGTATGTACGAATACTATTTTTCAGCTAATGTGTAAATACAATAAGCAAAGAAAGAATTGAGATTTTTTTTCTCCCTTACTCTATATTTATAACACATCATAAGTACAAA